TATTCTACCCGCAATCTAACTTAAACTTTGACCCGCCAGCTGACCCGCCCGGTGACCCACCCGGTGATCCGCCCGGCGATCCACCAGCAGATCCAGCCGGTGATGATTGGAGCTGTACGTGCAACTGCCCGAACTACTCTCCCTGTCCGATGTGTCCGCTAATCTCCGGTCGCCGGCGCCGGCAGTCATACAACGCGACGAATCCGCTCATCCAATCGGTGCCCCGACATAAGCGTCAGGTTGTGGGCGACTGTTTCACACTCATTCAGGCCTCATCCCTAGCCAGTACGGGCGCCCTTTTGGGTCTGTTGTTAAGCACCTTGCTCAGTAATTTGCCTTATATACTGGCTACTGTGTTGGCCGGCAATAATAGCCTAACCCTAGCGGTGCTACCCTTGGGAAACACCCTGTGTTATGTCGTGGGCCTATTGTTGTTAACGTTGAGAAGTTTGGGTCTATTGGGTTTGCTGGGTATGGGAGGACTGTTGGACCTGATTCTGGGCGGTGGTATTGGCTAATCGACTCATAGAGACCACAGTTTGCTCTGATTGCAGTTTATCATAATTTATATATTTATAATTATTTATAAAAATTTTAGTATAAAAATATTTGTATGTTTTTTTGTATTCATAACTAAATAAATATAAGTTACAAATTTACTGCTTTTATTAAACTTTGATTTTAAAATTGTTAGAAATATTCAAAATTTTATTGAAACATATTGAATTCTGAAAATAACAATATTTTAAGCTTCCTAATAATAACATTGATGACTTTGATAAATTCCCGATTTGTAATAACTAAAATATTAAGACATTACATTTTACGTCATATAATTTTTGCTGGATTTAGCAATGAAGTGATCAATATGTTTAGTCATGTTGAATTGTTGATTTACCATAGTTTAACATATTTGTTAAATATTACAACTAATATATTACATTATGTTGTTAGAGTGTAATTGCATTATTGCCAAGATCAAACCAGAATTTATAGTGATTGGTATACACAAAATGTTTGACAAGCTAATAGAAACAAGTTTGACAAGTTACAAAATATTTAATTTACAAATAAAATTATTCAATTAGATATGATAATCAAGTTTAAGCCATTGTAATGCACTTTAATTTACTACTGGTTAAAACATTGTATTTTAATAGAAATAATACTTTACTGTACTAATACTGTACTTCATAAACTAGTCATGGTAATTCAAATAAAAACAATAAAAATACATGGACAATTTATTTTTTAAATACACCAGTAGTGGCGGCCGCGTTAAGAGACCCGCCGTCGGACAGTAGATTAGCTCCGGTGACAAACGACGACTCGTCCGACGCCAGGAATAGCACAGCGTTGGCGATGTCTATGGAGTCGCCCACCCGTCCCAATGGGTACGACTGCGCCCTATCGACCAGTAGGTCGTCGTACTGTTGCTGCGATAGACCCATTGCTGTGCCAAAGTTGGTCCGCACGGCTGCCGGACTGTCATTATATAGATATTAATTATAATGAATGACACAATTTTTAATTGATAATTACTTTACTGTATTGACACGAATGCCTTTGGGGCCCAATTCAAGGGCCAGACATTTAGCAAACATATCCAACGCTACTTTTGACATACAATATATGGCCATCTGTTCATACTGTGGGTCAAAATAATTATATTTTAATTACATAATTGTAATTGTATTTTAAATAATTATTAATTTAAAAACAAAGCAAAAAACTAACCGGTTTTAGACCCGCGACACTTGAGATGTTAACAATATTACCCCGTGTTTTCTCTAGATGTGGTGCACAGAGATGTGTCAAATAGACAACTGATCTTAAGTTAGTGGCCATAACGCTGTCATAAGTGTCCAAAATGTCTTTATTATAGATGGAAGTGATGGCCCCATAACCAGCATTATTCACCAAAATATCCAATTTTCCAAAAGACTTGATTGTGGTGTCGACCAGACGTCGGCAGTCATCCTCTTTGGTCACATCCGCCACCACTTCCAGTGCTTTCAGGCCTTTTGGTGACACTTTATGGCACTCATTGGCCACTTGTGTCACATTCACTGCCTTTCGTCCGGTGATCACTACCTGAGCGCCCGATCGCGAGAACTCAATGGCAGTCGTGGCTCCGATTCCAGCACTCGAACCGGTGATCAGCACTACTTTCCCCGTAAAGTCTCTTATAGTCGGCATTATTTTGACAATAAGTAAAATTATTTTTTATCAAAAGTATTGTATTTTAAAATATGAGCTGAACTAAGCTGTAGCTGTTTTGTGGTTTATATACCCTTTTTTAATTCAACACCGAACTAATCAAGGACGTTTGCATCATTATTTGGCATAGTTAATTAACGTGAATACACATACCTCAGATGCTATTGCTTGTTAGTTAACAGTTGCATTATTGTACTGAAAATATGAGCTTATCAAGGTTTTGTTCAATCATGTTAGGTATATACTGTAGTAAAACCAAATGTACAACTGTACTGTTTTGTGCCGTACAATATAAATTACTAAATTATTATAAAATTTTATATATTATAAACAATTATATTATTATAACAAATAACTATTAAAGTAAAGTATGTAATAATAACTTTAAATAATCTCTATATAAGAAAATTATTCCGAGCGTTGCCTTTCTCTGTAAAACTCTTTAATTACATTTTAAGTCAATAGAAACCAGAATCTACCTCATATATATTAAAGCTCTCTCTCTCTCTCTCTCTCTCTCTCTCTCTCTCTCTAAAAATATTTAACAGAAAACTGTAACAAAATAATTGCTATGAAATTGTGAGCAGAAATAATTTTTATTGAAAAGTGTTTTCATAGATTTAAGACTAGATTTAAGTTTAAATTATAAGAGTGTGTAAAACAGCTGTCAATGTATTGCAATACAAAAGGGCTATCAATAAGNTAAGTTTAAATTATAAGAGTGTGTAAAACAGCTGTCAATGTATTGCAATACAAAAGGGCTATCAATAAGAGTGTGTATTAAAATATGAGCTCAAAGAGTGTGTATAAAAGGACTATAAACATAAAGTACCATGGTACAAAAACAGCGCTGTAAATTGTTAACCAATAAAATAATCATGATTAAGTGTATGATAGCCCAAAAAGTCCTTTTGTCATCTCAAATTTATTGTTAAAATATATTTGTTAATACTTTGTTATATTAAATTGCAATTTAATAAAATGGCCATTATAAAAATCTTTTGTCAACTAATTTGAACAAGTTTCAGTTAAAGTTCCTACCAATGTGAAAATACATGTTACAACATGCAACTATTTGTAATGTATTTTAAGTTGGCAAAAATAGTTATCAAATGCCATAATAGTTGGTACAGTAGTTTGGTAATAATAACTATACATAATATGTGCTACATTATCATTTATAAGGTATTTGTTGTGCAATAATGGGTTAACATTATGTAAAGTTTGCTGTAAAACGTATTGAAAAGATTGACCAAAAGCGGGTCGAGTTTTTATTGTTGGATATTATTTATTATCAATACGTTTAGAGGATATGAAGTATGAAATCAATTCAAAACATTTTGTACATTCAAACATTAAACCAAAATATTTATTTTTTTAATTGTTTCATAATTTAGATTATTTCACTCATTGGTATATTATTTCTCAAATTTATTGATATCAGTAGACGTTAAGAAATTACATAATAAACTCATTTAATAAATTAAAAAACAAATTATTTAATTTAACAATTGTTTTAAAATGTTGTAATTATAACGTTATCAGGCGTTAAGAGACCCGCCGTCTGACAGAATGTTAGATCCGGTGACAAACGACGACTCGTCTGACGCCAGGAATAGCACAGCGTTGGCGATGTCTATGGGATCGCCCACTCGTCCCAACGGCACTGACTTCGCCCTTTCATCCATGAACTCATCGTATTGTTCACGAGTTTGACCCAAAGCCAAAGTTTTGCCAAAGTTGATCCGCACGGGTCCCGGACTAGTGGTCACCGATTCGTGCAATTAGTTTAGTTAATAAATGAATATTTTATATTGTGATTACTTGATTGTATTGACACGTATGCCTTTGGGGCCCAATTCAAGGGCCAGACATTTGCCAAACATATCCAACGCTGCTTTTGACATACAAAAGAGAAAGCTGTTTGGGAACTGTTTTTAGAAATATATAAATTAGTTAATTGTATTGAGTAATGTTTAATCATTTTGGAAACTTACCGGTTTTAGACCCACAACACTCGATATGTTAACAATATTACCCCGAGTTTTCTCCAGATGTGGTGCACAGAGATGTGTCAAATAGACAACTGATCTCAAGTTAGTGGCCATCACTTCATCGTAAGAGTCCATCAAATGACTATCGTATATAGAATTATGAACTACTTTTCCCCCATTATTCACCAAAATATCCAATTTTTCGAAAGTCTTGATTGTGGTGTCGACCAGACGTCGGCAGTCGTCATCTTTGGTCACATCCGCCACCACTTCCAGTGATTTCAGACCATTTGGCGACACTTTATGGCACTCATTGGCCACTTGTGTCATATTGACTACATTTCGTCCGGTGATCACTACCTGAGCGCCCGATCGCGAGAACTCAATGGCAGTCGTGGCTCCGATTCCAGCACTCGAACCGGTGATCAGCACTACTTTCCCCGTAAAGTCTCTTATAGTCGGCATTATTTTGACAATAAGTAAAATTATTTTTTATCAAAAGTATTGTATTTTAAAATATCAACTAAACTAAACTGAAGCTGTTTTGTAGTTTATATACCCTTTTTGATTCTACGCCGAACTCATCCACGACTTTTGCATCATTATTTGGCATATTTAATTAACGTGAATACACATACCTCAGGTGCTATTGCTTGTTAGTTAACAGTTGCATTATTGTGCTAAAAATATGAGCTTATCAAGATTTTGTTCAATCATGTTAGTTATATGCTGTAGTAAAATCACATGTACAACTGTACTGTTTTGTACCGTAAAATATACATAATAAATTCATTTAATAAATTTAAAAAACAAATTATTTAATTTAACAATTGTTTTAAAATGTTGTAATTATCACGTTATCAGGCGTTAAGAGACCCGCCGTCGGACAGTAGATTAGCTCCGGTGACAAACGACGACTCGTCTGACGCCAGGAATAGCACAGCGTTGGCGATGTCTATGGGATCGCCCACTCGTCTCAACGGCAATGACTTCGCCCTCTCATCCAAGAACTGATCGTATTGTTCACGAGATCGACCCAAAGCTATGCCAAAGTTGGTCCGCACGGGTCCCGGACTAGTGGTCACCGATTCGTACAATTATTTTAGTTAATAAATGAATATTTTATACTATGATTACTTGATTGTATTGACTCGTATGCCTTTGGGGCCCAATTCAAGGGCCAGACATTTGCCAAACATATCCAACGCTACTTTCGACATACAATAGAGAAATCTGTTTAGGAACTGTTTTTGGAGATACAATATATGAATGAATTAATTATATTTAGTAATGTAACATTACTAATGTTTAATCATTTTGGAAATTTACCGGTTTAAGACCCACAACACTTGAGATGTTAACAATATTCCCCCGAGTTTTCTCCAGATGTGGTGCACAGAGATGTGTCAAATAGACAACTGATCTCAAGTTAGTGGCCATCACTTCATCGTAAGAGTCCATCAGATGACTATCGTATAGCGAATTATGGGCTCCTTTTCCCGCATTATTCACCAAAATATCCATTTTTCCGAACGACTTGATTGTGGTGTCGACCAGACGTCGGCAGTCATCCTCTTTGGTCACATCCGCCACCACTTCCAGTGCTTTCAGGCCTTTTGGTGACACTTTATGGCACTCATTGGCCACTTGTGTCACATTCGCTGCCTTTCGTCCGGTGATCACTACCTGAGCGCCCGATCGCGAGAACTCAATGGCAGTCGTGGCTCCGATTCCAGCACTCGAACCGGTGATCAGCACTACTTTCCCCATAAAGTCTCTTATAGTCGGCATTATTTGATTGTAATTTATATAAACTTTTAAATGTACAGTATAACTATTTAACTTAAACTATAGGCTAATTCCTAGTTTACCGCCCATTAATAAATATGGCCGCCGAGTGGATATTTGGATAGCCCTTGGTCAGTAGTGCCGAGATATGGTTACCAAAGTTTGCGGAAACAAATGGTTTTCGAGATAATCGGGACCAAAGTCGTGACTTTTCCCATTGAAACCCATTATAAAATTATACGGGATAAGACATATACAGTTGTTCCGGAGATAAGAGTGTATATAAAGTGTATATTTACTATACGTATGTATTGTTTTATTATAATTTGGTTAGGTTAGGTTAGGTTAGGTTAGGTTAGGTTAGGTTAGGTTACGTTAAATAAACAAAATATTATAATGGGTTTCAATGGGAAAAGTCACAACTTTGATCCCGATTATCTCGAAAACGAATTGTTTCCGCAAACTTTGGTAACCATATCTCGGCACTACTGACCAAGGGCTATTCAAATATCCACTCGGCGGCCATATTTATTAATGGGCGGTAAAATAGGAAAAGGCCAAACTATATCATTATAAATATTTAAAAATATTTCAAACCATTTATAATATGTGAATGTACTATAACTGAACTGATCAAGGACATCATACTACAGAATTGAGTATGCGCTATTCTAAACAAACAATATTGAGGTGCGGGCTTAGAGGTAAGCGGCGAGCGGTCAGTGGGCGAGCGATAGGCGGGCGAAGCGCGAAGAATTGGGAGACAAAGAGTCGATTAAAAACTTTTATTTAGGCACAAAAGTACAGCACAAC